CGTTAGGACCGCGGGCCCGGTCCGGTCCGGTTCAGGCCCGGCCCACCGAGCAGCATTACCTTGGAGATGCTGGATAAACACAAGATCCATAACCTACATTACAAAAAAAAACAATCATTTCTCAACCCATAAATAACTAATATATATAGCCTTCGCATAACTAGTAAAGTTATTAATATGATGGTCACGTGTCCGACCCGTGAAAATAGTCTCCTACAGAGATGTAGGATAAGGCTACAATCAGTAGCGGAGGCATAATTATAATTTGGCCAATGGGGTTCAAAAAGTTAAAAAATTAAAAGAGATTGTGGCCAATGAAAATAGAACAAGAAATCTCACGGATTTTGAACCTTAACCACTAAACTATGCTTTTGGACTATATCAAGGGGATTCAAAATATAATATATAGGGACACAACGAATTTTATCTTATATATATAGTATAATTTTCCGGCGAAGGGGTTTCCAGCGAACCATCTACCATCCCTTAAATCCGCCACTACATACAATAAACCCTCGCAGTCTGGCTTTTTCTTGCATCCGCACATAACGAGAACTTAGTATACCAGGCTGCACTATATAAAAATATTTATAAAATATTTGAGAAAATCGTGGTAAGAAAAACTTCGGGACTCCTGAAATAATAATAGTGTCATGTAAAATGAAACTGATGGGAGTATTCTATAACAAGAAATTGTAAAAGAAAATGCATAAAAAAAAAAAAAAGATTTACTTGGATCAGTTTTGGCAATGGTTGCAGTGCCAGCAAATTCACAAGAACCAGGAGCTCTATTTCTGCGCTGATAATAACTATTAAAAGCATAAGAAGCATGAGCTTGTATTGTATTAGGAAGAAAACAAAGCCCATTTTCCAAAAGAGTAACACAATCTGCACCAGAACTACAAGCATAATCTAATGCATTTTGTAAAGCTGTTTCACTTGCATCACTTCTTGTTACACACCATGTTGCTTTTACTTTAACTATTTGGGTGCAAAATGAAAAATATATGAACAAAAACACCACTTGAAATGGTGGTTTTGCCATTGATATGAAGCTAAAAGTTCAAGAAAATTTATGGGTTTTGTTGGGGTTCTTTTTTTCTCTTTTTGGTGGGGTTTGAGAGTGGGAATTTTGAGAGTGATAAGTTGGGGTTTTTGTTAAAGAAAGGGTAAAAAAAGGAAAGGAGAATGTTATGGTACAGTGTGGACAAAAGGACTGAATCAAATGGAGGAATGGGAACAAATTATAATTAATAAGGTCCATCACATAATGTTGTGAGATAATGGTATTTTTTAGTTTTAATTGGAGGTTTCAAGTTCCATTATTAAAAGCTGAAAAACACATAACAAGGAGTGCTTCTTTTTTTAAGGGTTGTTTTGCAGGAGGGATAAGGGATAATTAATTTTGGGATTAAATTTGAGATAAATTTATCTCATGTTTGATTGGGATAAATCGTGATATAACTATTTCGGGATTAGTTATGCCGGGATTGTAGTATCTTTTTACCCTTATGGGAGGATGAGATAACTAATCCTGGAATAATTAATCATGTGATAACTTATTTCCCAACCAAACGACCCCTTAGTGAGCTATAGGCGGTGCAAATTTTCTTAGATTTTTTACTACATGTTATTTCTTTTGCTTCAATTTTTCTATTATATTGTTATTGCTATTGCTTATCTTTCTATAGATTTATTTCCTTTTTACTACTGTCGAAATTTTATTTTACTTGAGCCTAGGGTCTATCGAAAGTAGACTCTCTACTTTCACAAGGTAAGGGCAAGGTCTACATACACACTACTCTCCCTCATACTTTACTTGTGAGATTATATTGAGATAGTTATTGTTATTGTTGTTGTAATGCATTAAGGTGAATTATGGCAATGCAAATCCAAATTAGTCGAACCAATAAATTCAGAATACTGAAAATAAAAAGGAAGACTGAAGAATTAACAAGAAGATGGTTTCTTTTATCTTTTTATTATTTTATGTGTTCTTTCAGCTGTTTCCTTTTTCTTTTGTTGTGTTCTTTTTGTGAGTTTGCTTTTTCTTTTTGGTGTTTGAGATTTTGAGGACTTTGAAAGTGATGAACTGAATGAATGTTTTCTTGGACAGATGATATTATTTTGTTTCTTTTTGTATGCTATACTATTTAATCTTTGGATGGATGCCTTTGGGGCATTGGCTTATAGATTCTTTTATTTTCCTGAATTTCAGCCTCTCTGTCTTGGGACTTACTAAAGTAACCACAAGGTACAAAATGTAGCCAAACATGGTGGTAACTAAAGAGGATGCTCAAAGTACTATAAAATTTTATTTACACTCAATAGTTACATCAAGTCGTACTAATTTATCGTGATTGAAATATGTATTAAAACTTATAAAGTGATAATAGTATATGTAACTATATGTATTATGTATTTATTACATTGGTGTAAATATAAAATATGTTAAACTTTCTTTCAAGATTTTAGCACACTTTTTAGAAAAGTATGGACAACATTGTAGAAATGACACCACGTAGCCATTTTAAAAGATTGCTATTTAAAATGAACCAACGTGTCCTGAATTTTAATTTTTTGGGATAAAAATATCGTAAATTGTCCTAAAATTAAGATTTTTAGTTCAAAATTTCAGTACAAAATAAGTATTCCTTCCGTCTCATATTATCTGTCATGATTCTCTTGTACATGCCCCTTAAGAAAAATTAATTAAGATGAAATTTTAACTACTTTACCTTTATTCATGTCTTAATATTTAATCTTTCTTCATTGGTATTTGAACAAAGTTAATTTTCAAGGATAATTATTACTTACGGTAAAAAAGGAAAAAGATAATCAATTTTATCTTGAATTTCTAAAGTGACAAATAATTTGGAACAACTATTTTTAGTAACCACGACTGATAATATGAGACAAAGGAAGTAGTGACTAACCCCCGAATCGCATCCATTTGTTTGTGCACTTCACCCGACAACATTCACAAAGTTCACGGGCCAATTTTAACTTTTCCCACTAAAGGAAAAATGTTGAATGACAATGTACAGTCAAACTCTATCATTTTCCAGCATGTACATCTTGGTAAACAATTAATACAAAATAAGAAAAGAAATTAATAAGCATAAACTTACCACCCCATGCTGGTAAATAAGGATTGCTTTTTTGAACTCTTTCTCTACATGCATTTTTCAACATGTACATCTTTAAGTGATGGCATTTTGAAATTTGAAAAATAACAAAAAATGGGTGTTTATACTCTATGATTGTAGTAATACAACTCACCTTTCTACCCTCCAACCCCTTTTCGTTGTGTATATCGTATGTGTTTCTCAAACGCGAACCTGTAGGGTGATCAATTAAACCCCAACCATTTTGATGTCAAAAATATTGCTAAGAAATTCGTATCAAATTTCTTCATAGAACAAAATATAGGCTTCACTCCGAAGAACTTCCTCTAATGAGACCTCTCGTACGTAGGCATCACTGGCATAATACCACACATAATCTTCCGCGTCCTTGTCTTTCCCAGCGATCTTTGGGCCGCCTCTAACATATGCAATATAGTGACCTCCCCTCATAGTCCCTGAATGTTCCACGACACCCACAAGCCGGTATTTGTAAACCTCCTTCTGCAGGCACCTGCAGTTACATCATTTCATTATCAGACAACCGCAGGCAGATAACATTTTGCAAAAGAGACTTGACCTACTCGGTCCTGGAAATAATATGCACCCGTGCAAAATACTATTACACGTTTTCAATTGAGTCTCGTCGACTTGGTTTCAAAAGTCTTTCTTTTTCTCTTTCTGGTTTCATAGCACAAAAAATACCTATACATCATCAATTTACGGATATCAATATACTCTTTAGTTAATGGACAAATCAATCTTTTAAAATGGGTTATCAGCAATAAACCAAACAAACATTTGACTAAGACTAAAGAGTTCATAGCCAACTACAACAACAACAAACTCAGTGTATTCCCACAAGTGGGGTCTGAGGAGGATAGTATGTACGCAGACCTTACCCCTACCTTTAGAAGGTAGAGAGGCTGTTTTCGATAGACCTTCGGCTAATGAAAGATAAAAGGAAGGAGCAATGACAAACAAACCAATCAGAAAACTAAGCGAAAACACAAAACTACACTAGGTAGTGCAATCAGAAACCGAAGCAAAGACAACAACAAATAATAATAGAAGCCTAGAAATACGAAAATACACTAAAGAATAGATAAAGATCCAACTAAGAATAGATAAAGATCCACCAATAATTTCATATTTTACATCCATTTTTGGTGAGTCCTCTCCAAGCTACACACTCACGGAACACTAACTTCAAACCAGTGACAGATAGTACAAAATAAAAGCCAAAGCACTGGAATATCAATTAAGATGTTCATATCACTTGGATAACAAGTTCCATGCAGAACCATTATTAAAAAAAAAGGTTCCATGCAGAAACATCAATCATATCAAGTGCTTCTATATAAAATTTAAAAAGGTGAAAAATAAGCTGATGGAACATATTAGAGCTGAGATTCAGAGACAATTTTCTAGCTTAACTAATCAAAAGAAAAAAAATTATGGCTTCCCCGGCGTCC